TTCGCCGGCTGGGGGAGGCCTCTCACAGTCCCGTCCGCCATGCACCAAATGGCACAACAGCGGTGCCTTAGGCACCCTGCGGCGGAATCATGGCCAGCTGTGGGTGGACACCTTATTGTGTTGCCGGGTTTGAACTGTTGATAATCCTACGTGAGGCTGGTTCTGTTCGCGCCCGGAGCACAAACACATATCTTCGGCTTGAAGAGTCCCCTCCTTTCTCGACTAGGCCACGGCGTCGAGAAGGAGCGGACTCTTCAACCAAACGTGCTTGTAGTTCGGGGTGCGTTAGGCCCGCGACGTTGGAATCTCCCATTGGGGCTCTACATGCGACCGGAGCACCCAAAAATATTCCTAGGGTTGAAGAGACCGCTCCGTCTGAACTCCGTGTACTACTAAGCCACGACGTGGAGAAGGCGCGGACTTTTCCAACGCGAATGATACGCTTGTCCTCTGGGCGCGTTGAGCCCGGAACGTTGGAATCCTCCGTGATGCCTCCCGATGCGCCCGGAGCACAAACATTTTCTTACCTTTGAAGATTTCGATCCTTCGCGACTCCGTGCATGACTAAGCCACAGCGTGAAGAGGACCGGATTTTTCAACGAGAAGAATAAGCTTGTCCTCCGGGTGCTTTGAGCCCGGAACGTTGGAAGGATCCAGCGTTTCAAACCCCGCAACTCACACGTCCACCTATACCGGGCGCTGATTCCGCCGCCGGTTGCCTTAAGACGACACTGGGTGCGTCGGTCTTTTTGTGGAGATAGCGACTGGGATTGTCGGTCTGTTCGGATTCGGCATGACCGCGGAGAAGGGGCGACTGGCTGACTGACTGACTTTAAAAGGCGAAGCGGTCGGGAAGGCGGAACGACATCAAGGGAGGTACACGAGAAAGAGCATGGCGTTCTCCTCCGCGTACCCCCCGTTGACGTTCCACGTTTCGGACCTCCTCGCCCTATGTACAAATGCAGTGGCGGGCGAAATGCCCTCGATTCAACAGCTCACCTGTAATTTGTGCGTCGGTCCCCAGACGCCACCGGCTTCGTAACGACTGCGGCTGCACATCACCGCCGCATAACTGGCCGGGCGGCCACTCCTCCAAAGAAACCTCGCGCCTTCTGACGTGGCGAAGCTGGGAAGGCCGGACCGCTCGGTATCGCAAGAGGCCGCGCAAAGGACGGCTTTGCGCGGCCTATTGGGATGGCGACCAGTCCTGCCTGCTGCCTTCCCAGCGTCGCGACCTTCGTAGCAGGAGCAGGCTTGCTCTTGCTCACCCGGGAGAGATGTTCTGATGCCGATGACCACCTCCACGCCTACGGAAGTGGCGACGCCGGGCATGCACGACCGCTCGGCATCGCACGCGGCCGCGCAAAGGACAACTTTGCGCCGCCTCTTGCGCGCCGCCTCTTGCGATAGCAAGCGGTGCTGCCGTCCCAGTGTTGCGACCTCTGTAGGGGAAGCAAGAAGCCGTTGTTCTGCAGGAAATGGCCACACCTCCACGCCTGCGGAGGTCGCGCGGCACCGGGCGTGCACGACCGCTCGGCGTCGCACGAGGTTTTTGGCCTCCTCATCGTGGGATGCCGGTTTTTGGTGTACGTCCGGTGCGACGACCTCCTCCGTAGGCTCGCAGCACGGGTCACAGGCGCGAGAGCATATCCGTCTCCCGGGTGGGTCTTGTCGGTGACATCCGCGACAGGACGTCTTCTTCACAGAAGACGGCGATGGGGGGGTACCGTATATACCATATTGGGGGTTGGTGTTTTTCCCATAACGACGTTGAGTGCACGCTGGCAGATAAGAGCTGCCGTGTGCAGGAAGCCGGTGTTGGGCGAGATACGGGAACAGTAGTCTACCACAGGTTTTTTCTATGTAAACATGCTGGATAGTAAGTAGGTTAGGGTCAGGAGATGGTGGTGGTCGGCCTTGCACGGTCGAGAGAGAAATAACGCAAGCTATAGCTGGTAGCTGTGGTCGAACACAAGGGAGACAGACCTGGTCGGCGTTGACCGAGGATGATGCGGCCGCAATGCTAGATTTGCACGATCGTAGGTAGCACGGCAGATGTTGGCGATTGTCCGACGATACGACAAGGAATGGATTTCGTGTCGGTTGGGAGGGCGCTGTTTTGCGGGGTGATTCTCTTGCCTCGTGTTCTGGAGGTTTATTTGGGCTACACGACGAGAATCATGTGCGAACAGGAGGCACGACATGGGTTCGTCCCTTCCAAAAGTGGAGCAATCAGCTGCATGAGTGCCACTTTTTCTCCCTCTCTGCCTTTCCCCCCCCCTCTTGTGAGGCCACCTATCGTCATTTTTTGACACAATCTTGTAGCTGCTTTGATAAGGATGGCCGCAAACAATCCCCCCGCACCCCCACCCCAAATCACTTTGTCGTGACACACTTTTCGCGCCGTTTCTGTTCCTCTCTTCGTTACAGTGACGGGTTGCGAACGCGTCTGGTGTTCGCCGAGATCGCGTTGATGAGGCCGCACATCCTGCTGCTCGACGAGCCCACCAACCACGCGTCGATGGAGATGATCGACTCTATGGCACGCGCCATCAAGCAGTTCCAGGGAGGTGTCATCGTCATCAGTCACGACTTCCGCCTGTTGCAGCAGGTGCGCCTCCCCCCCCCCCCCCCCCC